AGTGTGCCCTCGGGGCAGACCAACAAAGGGATCCCCTCGGGGTGTGAAAGTGCTACGAAGTGTAATCAGCGCAGATCGTGTGGCGGTCTGCACGAACTCCCAACTGAGCGAATGTACGTACAGCCGGTAATGGCAGTCTATGGTTGTGTGCATGACTGGGCGAAAGATCACAACTGTCTTCGTTAATTTTTTTAAAACTTATTTGCCATGTATCGTTGATTTATTTATCTTTAATGTTCTAGGTAATTTTGAGACAGTCCCATTATTGGTAATGGAGTATATATGATGCTGATTGTTTATCATCTGATTATCGAAAATCCCTACTTATATAATTATTGTTTTATATAAATTTTTATTTTCCTGAGAAATTTTTTGTTGCTGAGCCAATTATCAAACTGTTCAGAATGAATTACGTTAATCAGTGGGAGCTATGTTCCGATGGATATCGTACTTTACCTAAAATAATGATATTTGTGCAACGGGATACTCAACATATATGAGGATACAACATATGTATGAATACAAATCATATAAATATAGGATCGAAATATAGGTACGCCTTAGGTCTTTCGAGAAGACTGCAAAAAAGAAAAAAACAGTTTCGAAATCTGTCTAGTATCTCATACAGTGTTATGAAAGAAGTGAATTTAGGAAGTAGACAAGGATTTGACTTCAAGAAGAACAAGATGGAGTAATATCGGTGTCCAGGAAATAATACTAGCAACAAAGAGAGATTAAGTAATTAATGGAATCGAGATATATAGATTTGTGTATGTTAGCTTTAAAGAGAATGGAATGAATGGAAGAGCTAAGGTTATGAATAGATATATTGTATCATTTCTTGAAACCACAATTTTTTCTCTATATATCTTCATTTGCGCCTTTCATGGATCTGGTAGCAAACTCAACAATCACCGTGTATTGTGGAATTTAGTACCGGCATTTCAGGTTTGAAGAAGGATAGGACCCAGCAGCACCTCTTTTTGGTCTTTATTTACTTCCTTAATAAAGGAAAGGAGAACATTCATCCAGCTCCTTTTCAGTCGCCTCCTGATGGGTATGTCGGACGTGGCCATGTCATTTATTAGTCTGTTGTTGTGTCCGTGTAACTAATTACGAAATTGGGAGTAAAGAGTACTTATGTGTTGGCCAATAGTTGTTCATCGTTAGTTTGTAAGTAAAGTTTCATTTACGTACCAAGGAGGTGTTGTTATGAGTGAAATTTTTGAATTGAAGGCATTATAGTTTTCGTAGGTTTTTTCAGAATTTATTTTTACGTCTAAATAGTTTTGAAAAAATAAATGATTTTTTTTATAATTTAAAAATATATTCATTTGGGCCTATCCTTAGTTTAGGAAGATATATTAATTATACCCTGTCCTTCAGGAACAAACGTCATTCACTATGTAGGAATCACAACTGGTATAATTTAATAACAGACATCTTAATGAACGGATACAGTTCTGAAAGAATAACTATAAAAAAAAGCTAACATTTGTTCACAGATTGACTGAGCATATGAGCGGAGTGAGACCCCTGATTCGAGACCTTCACACAGGGCACACATGTTGTGTCTGCGCGTTCATTCCCCCGTAATCTATTTAATTCTTCAATTCTGTTTTTCCCAAAAGTCTTTGAAATCTGCATATAAGATAATCACTGACCATTGGTATTAATAGTAAACTTTAGTTGACCACTGTTAGTACGGATATACTTAATCGGTAAGATCATTTAAAAAAATGTTAGTTTTTTTATTTATCTGTAATAATAATTATATAAAAGACATAAAGAAAGAAACACAAAGTTTATTCTGGGTCATTTGCTCGCCTAAAAAAATTGAAAATGAATAATAGAAATTACATTTGTCTAGTACAAAATGCAAGAACTAATTAAATTACAGAGTTATAAAAAACAAATTTTAATTAAAGACAAATATAATTAAATATATAAAAATAATCAATTTTGTTATTCTAATGTATTTCGTACTTATATCTCTTCCCATAGAACTAAGACATTTGAAGATTCCTTTATTGCCCGATCCACTGTCATCTGGAATCCCTTGCCATCTGATATCCGCCATGCCTCTTCCTTGTCCTCATTCAAATATCATCTTTACCAGTTCCTTCTCACATCCCAAAATGACGTTGTACAATAAAATAAATATTATGAATTGCATTTTGACTGAGGCGAATGGCTGTTAAAATTGTTTTGAGTTTTATATTTAAAAATCAACCAATAGTGCTTATAATATTATGTATTCTATTTTACCTGATTCTTGTTTTTCTTTTCATTTAAATAATGTTTTTTTTCAAAATGGTGTTACTTTTTCAATTGTTATGATATAGGTTAACTGAAGATACTGTATATATTATTTAATTTTGATTAATGTAATTTTTGGCAAGATGTGGCTTTTATTTTTTGTTCATAATTTTATTTTTTTGGTTTTAAATTTTCCGCAAGCAGGTAGGTAAAAAAAAACATAATAAAGGTTTTTTTAAACTAAGCAATTCCATAAGAAGGGATATACAGGTGTACGTTTGAAGAATGGACTGAGTAACTGGGAATAACCAAATCAAGAAGGTTTTTTTAGTTTTTAAAGTTTAAGTAAAGGAATACATCTAGGAAATATTGCCGTTAGTAAACTGGATAGTTTATAAATTATACGTTTACTAAATAAAACAAAATAACTATAATTATTAATTATAAGAGTTTCGGTACTAACTACCTTTATTCTGTTTATTTATTGATGCATCATGTTTTTAGTTGTAAAATGAAATTTAAAAAACTGATCAATCTTCCACACTTATAAAAGAATGTATCCTCACTATTAAATTTGTATAAATTATAATATTAATGCGATCTGTTTTTGTTACAGGTAGGTTATCACTTCCATTTGATGTCTGATATTATCGTCTTCCAGGTAATTAATTCTATTATTTTTTAAGATCTGTTTTGCTTCTTATCGTTTTATTTTATTGTATCAGTATAAGATACAATCTATACGTTTTGAGGACGTATATTTTGCAAGTTGATGATACAATTTTATATGGGACTGTGAAATTATCTCGGGCCTTGAAGAATTGTCAGGTTATTCAAGAATATAAAAACACAAACATGAAGGTTTGAAAAGTTCAACCTAATTAGATGGCCGTGATATAAGAGGCATTGGAAAGCCACCGACAGCTAAAGAGCCAGTCAGCTTGCTCAAGAGCAGCCTATCAAGTGAGGTATAAATCTACTTCTACGACATTAAGACGGTTTAAAAATATATTTACGGTAATATATTGGCAAATTCCATTTTATTGCAATTATTTCGAGCACAATTTGGCCGCGGATGCGGTATGTTTTACACCTTCAAAATGCTCTAGATCCATGATGTATGATGGAACGTCATGTAGAATGCCAGTAGCTCGAAGATCGTATCTCTACGTTATTACCCTTAGTGATTTTCTCTACGTCATATACTTAACACTTAGAATTGTTGTTAATACCTTCACATCTAAAAAAATATACATCGTGATTATGTTTCGGAAAAACAGGCTAGGTTCATAACTCTTTGGGCAACTAGGTTTATATCATAATAGACTTATCTAAAAATCCAGACTAAATCAAACTTCTGCTATGGTTGACCACCCACATAATACAATTCATAATATTGCTTATAATTTAAGTATATTACTTATTATGAATTTAAAAAAAAAAAAAAACCTGTTTATCCGGAATAATGTTTCCAGGGCCATTCCTGAGGATGCGAAATTTCAGATATGAGAAGATACGATCAGAGAATAAAAAAATCTTGATATTTATCATTACAGAACATTTATTATCATTATAGAACATTTATGTAGGTAATATTTAAATTAGTGTTATTTATATAAGTATTATTAAAACAATATAAATAATTTATATATTTAAAATATATTATTATAAATAAATATTTACTGTATTTTAAATTTAGGGTTGTCGTTTATTAAATTTACTTAGGCTGAGAACAAGGTATTTAAATTTTAATAAAGTGCATATCGTTAAATTATGGTCCATAACAATCACATATTGTCAAATAGTGTTCCCCACGATACTGCCGAGACGAAACCAGACGAGTCTTGGTCTTGCAAACTCAGTCTTGGTCTTAGTCTTGCGCAAGAGAATTGCAGTTTCTTATTAGCTTATTACTGTTGAGATATTACTGTAATTTTTTAGGTAGGAGAAAACTAACTAAGCCCAAATGAAAAATTAGAGGAGTTAAATGCAAAAGTATATTGGTTATACCAATTATTGACATATAGTAACTAAGATTATCAAAGATTAGTAACTATTTTGCTTTAATTTTTATCCAAGAAATCGATTTTTTTATCAGTTCTGGTCTTTGTCTTGCAATACTTAGGCGGTCTTAAGACCGATTTTGGGCAACATTATTGTCAAATATGTATTCTTTCCTCGCTATAAATATTTTCCATGTGGCTGAATATTATATTAATCAATAAAATAAAATAATATAAAAAAACCGTCAAATAAATTACTTAGGCGTAAATGTAATTATAATAAATAATCTATTGACTAACATATACTTAAATATTAATATCATTATGTAGATATGGTATAAAAAGTAAATGTCAATTTTTATGTCGTCTTTTAAAATATGGCTGAGGACACCGCATCTATCGATTTACTAATTTGCTGAAATTTACTTGGCCTAAATAATTTTAATGTATAAACCTGTGTAGAAAAATCATATTTACCTATGTACATTTAAAATTTTCAAATTCCAATCTTTTTTATTACATAATCAGAAATTTGTTTTCAGGCACCATTGATATTTTACTATATGATAAATCTCGTATTCCTAACAAATACATATGGTAAACATCTTGTGTGCCCCACTTAGTGTTGCCCATAATCGGTGTTGGTCTTGCACTTTGCGAGACCAACACCAGGACCAGCTCAGACCAAGACTGAGTACACTAGAGTTAGACCCGTCTTGGTCTCGCATTTGGGCAACACTAGCCCCACTCAATTAATTCAAAAGTTAAATCATTCATTACTTCTATTATAAAATCCGAGCCAAGCTTTCTTCCATAATTATAAAAAATAAAGGAATGCTCCAGGAGATTATGATTTGGAAAGGTTATAATGGAATTTGGAAAATTAGAAGGTAAATGGTTAGCTAAATTCTATTTTAATCTGTAGAATATTATTAGGAGAGCAATACTTCTATTGTTCTACTGATAATATTCTATAATAATAATAAAAAATTCTCGATTTATTTTATAAATTTCGAAAATTTAGATTTAAAAGAGATGAATAAAACTTATATTCCAGTATTTGCTTTTAAAGTTATTAGGTAATCAAAATATAGATATTTTTATTACCCAATTGAAACCCTTTATTTTTTTATTACTCAATTTTCTTTCTATTCCTTATTTTTTCAAATATTTTATTTGGTTATTTTATCAGTAACTATTCACTGTGTTTATATATATTTAATTATAAACATAAATTGCCAACAAAAGTGAACCTTTCAATTATATGCGTTTATGACGTAATATTTTGAACTTTCAAAACCTCATATTTCTTCATAAGGTCTAAGAAAAGACGTAAATTAAATTTTAAGTAATGAAATTTATGACAATGTTCTGGAATCTCACAAGTAAAAATTTAGTACAAAAAATAGTAGTCGATGATTTAAGCATTTTTCGGATCAAACCATTCTATAAATGAATATTCATTAATACAAGCTCTGAGGAATTAGTTTATTGGTCAGATGGTAAAATCTATGTAAATGAAAAATAAATAAACAATGAGATTAAAATGTTATAAAGAGATAATTATCTCTTACATAACATTTGACAATTATCTTAGCAATTATCTCTTACATGTCTATTGATTGGAAAACAAAGAGAACTAATTGGAGTCTTCCATGTTTGCTATAATTAGAATTTTATACTATCCATAATTTTATATGTATTCATTTGTGAGTATATAAATTGGTTTGGTCGCGAATTCCTTTCGTGCCGATCGCCGCTTCCTTCCTGTTTTATAATATGTTAATTATTTCCTAACCATTCACTGCTAACCGGACACCGGTACTTCCTATGACCTCACTGTGTCGCAGCCTTTTCGATCAGCACTCGAACGTTTTTATTATTGAAACTTTAAATTTATTATTTTTACTATAAACAATTAATGCATAAATTAAAATTTACTAATGCTTTTTGTTTTAAGAATTAGCAGAGAAATTAATTACTCTAAAACATAAATAAATGGAATTTATAACAAATAATTTCCTACCCCTCTGTCTCAAGTCAAATAATAAAATGTTAAATCTTGTAAGAATGGGTGTGTGTAATTGATTTTCATATTTTTTTTATTCACATATAGCATAAATAGTTCAAAATATGTTTTTAAATAAAACTCTGAATTTATTTGTTTTACAATGACTTTGACAAAAGAGGATGAGAAGGCCGAGCATGTTGGGGCGAGGGTCCTATGGTACTCTGCTGGAGTGCACATCCCCTTCCCCTCATATGATATTGATATTTTATTTCAAACAGTACAAGCGAAAGTAGAATTTAATAAATCGGAGATCATGTACAATAACACTTGCTTTGATATGTTTCATGTTTTTCGCTTGTTCCATGATTTAAAAGTTTTCCATTCCTAAAATCCATAACCCCGTCAAAATGTGCCATTTCCTCTCAGAATTTTAAACCCCCGTCCAAATGTTCCCTCTCAAATATATTTGTCAAATCCACCTTCTGGGGAAATTAATATTCATCTCTCGGAAGCCACGAGAAATGAAGTTTAATTCCCTCACTGGACAGTATAAGGACTTCAATGAAAGCCTTGGGCCGACAATAGAAAAAGAAAACCATTATTAAACTTCTGCTTGGATATATAATTAATATAATGATTGTGACGTATTAAAAAAATAAAGATTTAAAGTTAAGTAATTTAAGTAAACAAGCTTATGTTTAAATGGTTTGTATATTTTTATTTCCGAAAAAAAAAATCTTGCCCGTTTGGCATGACAGGCAAAAATTGGGCATATGGTGTTAATTTAAGTTTTATTTTTAAGTAGTTCCGAGTTGGCTGTGATCTTCATTTTCAATAGTTTTCTTTTTCGTTATTTCGGAACCAGTTTTATTGTATTGAAAAGAAATTTTATTTTTTACTTTTATTTAAAAATTATAGCAATTAATTTATTCATAAAGTGAACAGGTCTGATGAAGCTTTTTAGGATAAAAAACTTTTTAAAAACTCCATGGAACTTTTTTCTAAAAAAGTTCTGGGTTTATTGTAAAAGTTTACTTATTTTTTCAAGATCATCAACGAAAAAAAAATCTTACCTAATTGTAAATAGTATATACAGATTTGTCTTTGTTATTTTACTTCACTTATCTATAAGAGAGAAGGAGTTGATCGGGGGGTGCGGTCAAATAAATGGTCAAACTACATTGTCACCTACTATATCTCTGATATCATCTTTTTATTTCTTTATCAGACAACTTCTTCTTATTTTATATCTACTTATATTCATTTATTTTATTTTCACCATGTTTTGTATCTTTTGTAGCCCTGGTGAAGACCTGCAAAGTGGGTCGAAACGTCGGCAAAAAATTAAATAATACTATTTCTATAATTTAGTATTTATTTGATCGCACTCCCTCCCCTTCCCCGATCAATTCCTTCTCTTCCTTCTCATATTATGTCACATTCAACCATCTCTACATCACTTATCTATAAGTTTATTTTATTTTTTTTTAAAATTGTATTTGCTTTTTGATTAGTATTTATTTGTTGCTTGTTCTGGCTTATTTTTATTTTATTTATTTATATCTTCTGTAAATATGATGTGAATGTCATCTTTACTAACTATAGCTAGTATCCATTTTACGATAGAATGTTATATTATTCAATAAAAAATTAAGCAAATGTAATTTTTCAAATTTATTTGATACTTAAATGTAAGAAAATTTATTACATATAAATGATCTATTCGTAATATAGACGCTATTATTGGATTAGGATAGCAGCTACTATCGGCACCCTACCGCATGAGGCCAACACAATGGCGTGGATTATAGATTATCAGTTTGCTGCTAATGTACTGGCCCATACCGCTATAACAAACAGTTATTGAAGATAAGATCTACAGGTGTAGGTGGCGCTGGTGATTAGTGAGATTGAGGTAGGCCGTACAGGTGCCGGGAGGTGAGAGGGGGGGGAGGAGGGGTACAAAAACCACCCGGGCTACCTGTTCGGATAACCCACTGTCTTCGGCGGTCTACTATCCTCATATATTTCACAGCTATCGATTTAGTTAATATCTTATTTAGAGCTTCAATGGCTGTTTTATGACTCTAGATGGCTCTCTGTACATCAATAATAATCTAACTAATACAACAGGAATACTATTTATAAATAAATTGCCGATTATACATCAATGTTTAACGAACATAATTATATTTAATACTCAATATTTGACCTTGTATATTGAGAAAAAATATGGTTCACGGATGGCGTTCATAAAAAAAATCTTAAAGTAGTTGAAATTACTTCATGCAGCATAAGTTTGTACCCAACTATTCAGGTCTATATCAAAACTATATATGGTCAGGAAAGACTTCCCCGAGAAACTAAATAGTTCCGTAAATCTGAAAAACCTAGAATAAAATAGCCACAAACATAAACAACAAATTTCTAAACAATACATGTACAGTAAACCGGAGTTACTTTGGAACATTTTATTTATTTTTTTATTTATTGAGTATTACAACAATCTGTCATTTAGACATTAGTTATCGTGAGATAGGATAACCTTCACACTATATGTACAAAAAATATAAAATAAATGAAAGCAAAATAACAACAAATAATAATCATAAAGTATATACAACAAATAAAATGAAATCATCTAAAAATAAGAAAATTAATACTAAGCAAAAACACATGCATACATATATACACTATTTAGAATCAGGCGAGGGAACTCCAGAAGAACCCTGCTCTCGGGAAGCGGAAATTGATAGAGAGCACTTTAGCCACATTCTTTGGAACTAAGAGGTTGTTATGTACAAGAAATTATTTTGAATTTGAAGTCACCTGGCGAAAATTGTTGTGTCAAGACTATACGAAAGTTTTCTCGATATGATAAGTGTCCTAGCCAGCCTGGTAATTTCATATATAAAATAAACTCTAGTACATAGTAACCCCTTAGTCCCAAAGTAAATTCGGATATGTATTTATATATATTCTTTTTCGCTCTTCCCTTCCTTGCCTTTTCGGCTATACGGGTTTTTTCCTGGGCCAGAGGGTGAGGGCGGAGGATTAATGCCAGAATTAAAAACTCTCTCAGGCACCGGAACGCGAACTCTTTATTATTTTTCCACTAAACTCCGTTTATCAGATTACCGGGCAACGCCAAAAGTTAGGACCTAACATAAACATAATTTCTAAACAATATTAACATGCCGTTTGTTTGCATTAGAGGATGCTGTAAGGTTAGGCAGTGATAATAGAGACTGCAATATTTTTTAGATTTTACTATTGCTTTTTTTTTATTTATAAGTAAATACACACCCATATACATATATTAAATTAATTCTGTTAAATTTTAATATAAAATAATACTAAAATTTTCGTAATTAGATATTAATTAATTCTATCGCTAGATTAAAGAATATCGCTCCAAAGCAAGACCGCAGCTAGCTCACGGGGACCACATGCGGCCTAGAGGCCGCAGTTTTCCCAGCTGTGGGTTAAGCCACTGTGGATCTTAAATTGTTTAAGGTAAAGTTTTAAGTGATATAAAATAATCCTGATATTTGTTTATATCTTTCTGGACAAATTTTGTAAATCGAATGCCCAATTATTTATTTAAGAACCTCAATCCAAGCGTCCAAAGTAATATACTTTTACTCATTATATTTTTAGCTTCCTTAATTGTAGTTAACATCAGCCATGACTAAAGACAATCTATTGATTAAGAGATGACATACTCATTTGTTTTCCTGTTTTTAGTTCTTTGTACTCTTTGATCCGAACCGCAATGTTGCAATAATCTGACCTCGACTGCACTTGGTTAAGATATCTTTCATACATTTTTTTTCTGCATCAAGAGTATTTTCTTACTGGCGCCTGCGAAATCTTGAA